TATTTTATAATTGGACTTATACCAAATACACTATACAGTAGGTACCTATTTTCAATAATAATAATATATTACAAGATACAATAATCCTAAATGAAATATATATACTTGGCACTTGCATAATATGATATGCGTACCTATAGGCCTATAACCATTGATTTTATAATTTAATAGGTTGTAGTTTTGAAAAGGACAATATGACAGTTGCAGCTTTTAGTGATATTGCAGCAACATATGAAATAGACAAAAAAAAATATAAAAAGTAAAGAATCACTGAAGCTCATATCAACCCAAGTTCATTTCAGAAAATGAGAGTAAAATTAGCCGTTCAGTTATTTAGCCACACTATGGCGTCTACTATATTCGTACTTGTATTGAAACCAATGAATTAAAAAGTAAGACAGCAAAAAACACAGCTGATTTTGTAGATTTTATTGATAAATTATTTGATTGCTTGAATAGCAGAACATTGTATAGTTCAAATTCATACAATTGCAGATTATCTGATTCCAGTATTGTAAAACCATTTTTGAATGTAGCTATAAAATATTTTATTGATTTACAAAAAATAAAAAAGGCAAAATTACTAAACCTCCATGTTTTAAAGGCATTATACAAACAATAACTACAGGCGTTCTTCATTTTTTTTAAGGAAGAAAAATCCAATAACAATGAAATCAGTTTTATATTAACTTATCGGTTAAACCAGGACGAAGTAGAAAAATTATTTAGTATTTTTCGACAAAAAGGTGGCTACAATAAGAACCAGCTACAGCGAGAACGATTAGAACGTCATTTAGAAGTACTTGTATATTTTCATTATGCACTTCTAAAGAGGCAAATTGTGAAAATATTATTGAAAATATCGATTGCCAAACAAACAAACAAGACGTGACAATTTTTCTGGAAGGAGAACAGATAATGATTAATGAACATCGAAAATGATCAATCGTCAGATACGGATTCAGAATGCAGTTCAATTGATACAGTTTTATCAGTTCAAGAAAATTTAAACACAATACCTGTCACATTAGAGGATTGTTCGGTGACATATTTCGCTGGATATCTAGCATTAAAATGTATCAAACAATTTAATTGTGAATATTGTAAGGATCAATTGATTATAGAGAAAGATTTAAATGATAAGAATCAAATACTTATTATAAATAAAAATTATTCATAATTTAACACGGGACTTAAGTCACCGGCGAAAATATTTAATGATATAATCGATAATATTTTAAATATTTTTGAAAACAATTTTAACAACGTGAAACATAAAAAAAAATCAGGAATAATTTAACCAACAAAATACAAAGCAATGAGAAAATTAAAGCATAGGTTAAAATTAATGCCGAATGTGTTGAACATAAATTATATATTATAGAACAACTTTTGATTTATAAAATATTTAAAAAAACTAAACTTTATGCAACAACATCAAAATCAGCGAAAATCGAAAAATTAAAAATTTCAAGTCACATTTAGAATACTTAACTTAAAATAAGATATTTCAAGCTTATTTTTATACAATACATTATATTATTATATTCAATAAAGATTATATTCGATACTTATTATTAGGGTTCGGATTTGAAGGCAATATAATCAATAAAAAAAGCATTTAAAATGTAAAAAAAAGGCAAAAAAAGGCATTTAATTTATATAAAAAGGCAATTCATAAATATACTACAAAATAAAATAGTGAACATTTTTTAAACACTTTTAAATGCACACATTTTGAGAAAAATACAAATTAAAAATGAGCATGAATACTAAACTACATTAAGTTTATGCTATTTTGTATAAATAGATTAGGTACCTTTTTCTTTAACCAGGTTTGTCCTAAGAATTAGTTAAAAAAAATTTTAAATATTAACTTACTTGAGTTATACCAGTTAATTAAATGCAAAATAAACAAAAGGTAAAAAAAAAGGCAAAAAGGCATTTACAAGTAAAAAGGCAAAAAAAGGCAAAAAAAAAAAAAGATCCATTATCTAAGAAATTAAATGAAACACATTTTTGTATAAAAATTATTTTTCTATTATGATTAATAAAAGAAAGGCATTTGCCTTCAAATCGGAACGATACTTATTATTAAGTATCTGACAGTTTATGACATATGATACATGACATTAATTAAACATAAAAAATAATATGAATTTTGTCTATTTACTTGTGATATTATCGCGGACGCACATGGGATATACCAAAATTATTAGTGATTTTATCTCGGACGCAGTTGAGCTATTAAAAAGGTACGGTATGATTAACGGGACGCACTCGGGCGACGCTCCGTAGGCTAACTGACCGTTTTCGCTCAGAATCGTTTTTCTTATACAATGATATTATATCATTGAATTCAAATTTAACACCATCCATTACAGTGATCCACTTGTAACGCACTGTACAGCAGAGCGACATCCACTTACCCACTTTTTTTTAATTTTATTTTTCACAAAATTAAATGTTTTAATGAAATTAATTCCATGAAAATTAATTTAATGACAATTTAAAACACTATTCATTGACTTACACATAATCACCTCATGGCCTGCAGACACGACCCCCCCCCCCCTATGTGAGTCATGTGGAGTGGATTGCACCAGTCAAACGCATACTAACTAAAAGTTTGAGAAACAATCACTATATACTTCATCTATACTATACGAAAAGCTTTACAACCTGCAGACATCTAATCAAATATTAACTGAATAAACTTCTTAAAAGTAATCGAATTATATAACCTAACATAAGCATACACTGTACTTTGAACTATAATATATAAATATACTGTAAGCTAATGGCCGGGTAACCGTAGTAATTAATACCAATGAGAAACTGATTTAAAATAAATTAAAATTCAAACTAGGTAACTGTTTCTAAAAAATGAAACTTAATAAATAGGCACTTACCAAGATTAAAATTAGTAACTGCACCTACTCGTGACAGTGGATATCTTAAGGAATTATCAATTTGCGACATTAAAAAAAAAAAATTCACTATCAAAATCAACATATTATTATGAGCTTGTAAAAAACTTTTCAAAATTCATTATATTAATTAACAAATAATAATTTATAATAAAAGTTATTATATTGATAATTCATATAAATTCACAGAATATCAACAATATTACACCAATTGTTCGAACACGGACGCGTTTTCGCGCCATCCTAGTTTCGGCATATGTCCCCAAAGCTGCGCCTCGGATGCCGAAGCTCACGAGGTGGCTTACCCCCTCCTCGGCCGTTCAGCTCCGGGCCGTTCGCCGCCGTAGGCTGTGCCACCAGAAGTTCGTGTGTCTCTTACCTACGCTCGAACTTGGCGGATCACGCACCGCCGGTTCGCGTTGCTTCGTGTGGCTGTGTTTAGACCTCGTGGTCATTATTAGTAATTATTTATTATTTATGATTATAATTGGTGCACGTCTATACCGTCGTAAACTTGGAGACAGTCTAAGTTTGACGGATTGTGTCACCGCGCACCACCGAATTTATTAATTATTATACGTGTCACCGCTGGGCCGTCGTTCAACTGCGCCGCAGTGCCGATTTTGGCTGTTGACGAGGAAGACGCTGTCGCATTTCCAGCGAGGACCGTGCTGACCAGTGACCTGTCCCCGAGGTGTCGATCAGGTCATATTGTAAAATTATTATTACCTATTGTTTAAATTATTATTATTGTTTATTGTTCAAATTATTATTATTATTATTGGTGTAGCGCGTGTTAAATTGTACACGGCGTCTACATTGATTACTAGTGTGTAAAAAATATATATATCGCGTCATTACGCATTAAGACTTGTACGAGGTAATATATTGTGAGTTCGCCCCTTCCCGTCCACAGCATTCCGCGAGTCGTTGTCGCTAACCGCGATTTTTAAAAGTAGGAGCGGCATGGCGCACACCAATACTATTGATTATAAATACTACTATTTTTACTAGTATTTATAACCAATGGTAATACGTTATACCATTGATTTTATAATAATATACAGATAGGCCATGCTATAGGACGAAATGGAAGCAAATACTTCAGTGTTATCGGCGCTCGATAGGTGTCGTTGATGTATTTGTAAATAACTATTAATTAAAATAAGAATCCACAGCGTTCGAACATACGGCTGGCTCGCGGTGTCAACGACAATGGTCTGTGGAGTGGGGCCATGATTAAAACTGACCGAACAGTTCGTTCGCCGTTACACCGTTCCACCAGTTGTCGGTAAATTTGGCCGCATCACAGGATGTTAATATTACAAGTGTGTACGCTGCTTTATTCTGAATAGAGCTAGTATAGAATGACCATGTTATTAAAATGCAGGTACTATTGTAAGTTTTTCACCTAACGAATACAATTTTATTGACATTAATTGTAGAATAAAAAACTAAAATATTGAAAAGTATAAATAATTAAATAAAAAAGCATACATTAAACCATGAAGATTAGAGATAAGGAGACCAAACTCTTATAGCCGCTCGTTTATAAAGTGGCCTGACAAAAGTCGCACGGTTATTCTGCCACCAGGAGCGCGACGTTCGATAGCAGTGCTACGTTTTACCACTTATTATACGTACTTAGCAATAAATAATGAATAATGTATCACTTTATTTATAAATTATAATTTACAAGCTTTTTTCTTCGCTAAATAATCATCGATTTTTTTAGGTGATTAATGCAGTGTTAGGTATAGCCTATAATGGAAAAAGTAATGGACAAATCTGAGGCCCCTTAATAAATTCCAACTATCGAAGCCCGGGGGCCATGCCCCCTTGGACCCCCCCCCCATTAATCCGGGCTTGCACATAGGCATGGATGATTCATACATGATATTATTTATTATTCATCAAAATATTAAATTTATAAATAGACAATGCATACAATGATAAGGTTTTAAATACTTTTTATTATTATTTTGCTTTGATTATTTTTATTTGAATACAATAATTATACATAAAACAATAGTAATTTGTATTTTGTGTTTTATTTCTTACACATTAAAAATGGTTAATTGTTGTTTCGTGCCAGGGTGTAATACTGGTTATGCTTTAGATGTCGAACATCAAAAAAAAATTGGATTAAAAAATAAAAGTTTGTTTAAAGCACCCAAAGTAAGAAAACATACTATCTTAACCTTATTTATGAATAATCATTTTTTATTTAATTATTTGTTACAAATAATATTTAGAACACAGAGCTTTTAGCAAGATGGCATAGAGCTATACCTAGGAAAAACAAAATGCTCACAGAAAAGTGTTATGTGTGTGAAGTGCATTTCAAAGAGAATGATATTCTAATTTATGATGAGACTATCTTAAATGATGGAACAGTCAATAAAATTAAAAGAATTAGACCCACATTAAAATCTGGGGCAGTTCCATCTATATTTCCGAAACTTACCATTTTATTTATCAGAGCATACAATTAAGAAAAAACCTCCTCTCGAAAGGTCTATAAATAGCGATAAAAAGAGATTTAAACCAAGTCAGGCATATTTAAATACAGTTGAAAATTCCCACGAAGAATTTTCATTTCAGTATTTAAAAGAAAATCTGAATCTATTCGAAAAACCAGATAATAAATGGATGTTTGAATTAACTGATGATGAAGTAGTGCTTGCAATATGGAATAGTGGATCTGAAAAAAGAATAATAATTTCAAATGATTTAATAGTAAAAGTAAGCAATTATTTGGTCAAAAGTAAAATAAAAAACTGTTCAAACCTATAATCGTATTCTATATTAATTCATATTATTCCAATTCTTTATTCATTAAATGTTGACAGATTTTTTTCAATGGTACTGAAATTTTAATTGATTGCAACATTATTAATACAATTTTATTGAGTATGAATGATATACATAAGTTATTGAAATATATACATTCTTTAATAACATGTAAAGGGATTATGACATCAGCAAATAACATTACCAGGTAAAAAAAACTTTTTTTATAGCAAACACCTTTTGAACTTTGATTATATATTTAGGTATACTTTAACCTGACCAGGTAATAAATAATAAATCATAATTTATATTTCATTCGAATTCAAAAAAATGAAATAGAACGTACATTTATAGAAAAGTACGTATAATAAGTGGTAAAACGTAGCACTGCTATCGAACGACGCGCTCCTGGTGGCAGAATAACCGTGCGACTTTTGTCGGGCCATATTTTGTATACGGAGTTTGGTCTCCTTATCTCTAATCTTCATGCATTAAACACTAAATGATTGAATAAAAAAAATATGAAATTTATTTTTCAAGTCATTGATTTTCAAAATAACACACCTAAACTTAAATTTACACACCTAAACTTTATATTATGCCATATAAAAAGTAAAAAATAATAATATACCTACATGTACCTAAATCAAACGGTCAATAGAGGTACCTATAGTCAATTGTTTTTAAAAATACACACGTAAACTTAAATAAATAATCTAACCTAAGGCAAGTTATACCATTGATTATATTATATTAGCCCACCCTTACAAAGTAAAATAAAAATGTTATAGACAAAATTCATATTATTTTTTATGTATAATTAATGTCATGTGTCATATATCATAAACTGTCAGATACTTAATAATAAGTATCGAATATAATCTTTATTGAATATAATAATATAATGTATTGTATAAAAATAAGCTTTAAATATCTTATTTTAAGTTAAGTATTCTAAATGTGACTTAAAATTTTTAATTTTTCGATTTTCGCTAATTTTGATGTTGTTGCATAAAGTTTAGTTTTTTTAAATATTTTACAAATCAAAAGTTGTTCTATAATATATAATTTATGTTCAACACATTCGGCATTAATTTTAACCTATGCTTTAATTTTCTCATTGCTTTGTATTTTGTTGGTTAAATTATTCCTGATTTTTTTTTTATGTTTCACGTTGTTAAAATTGTTTTCAAAAATATTTAAAATATTATCGATTATATCATTAAATATTTTCGCCGGTGACTTAAGTCCCGTGTTAAATTATGAATAATTTTTATTTGTCTGCGATATAATCAATATAAACCATAGAGTAATTACTGTGCAATAATAAGTAATTTAATATAGAAATAAGTCCAAATAACCCACAACATCCTATCGCAGTATTGCGACGGCTATCAGGCATCAACAAATCAGACACCATCATGACACGACGCGCTATTGTTTAAGAGGATGTCAGCACGCTATTTGTTTTCTCTGTCTTTCCCACGCGCAACATAGACAAAACGAATAATTTGAATTTGAATTTCGAATAATCGAATTAGAAATGTAAAAAACAAACACAATTCAGAAATATACATAATATTGTAAAAATTATATATTATTATATTTGAAGGTTGGTTACCAAATTGTTGGGATTTTTACTTTTCTATGTTGGCAATTATGAATTCATAATTTTTTTTGTTCAGTTGTGCTACACTGCATCTTCGGCTTGACGCTACAACTACAACAGTCTGGCAGTCTGGTGGGTTTTTATGCTTATTTCCGTGGTTTGTTAACTGCACTGACTGATTACAATTTAATTCAGCGGTCCGTCTTATCAAGACAAATCCGACTAACCGCTAGTTGCGGTGTGAACCCGACTTGAATTTTAGTTTTCCATTTCCACGCTGTTGCTCGTAAGTCGTTTTCTACGATTGCATTATTTGCATTGGGTGCAGGAGCTCGACTTGTAACTTGTGGTCGGCAATCGTTTTGTTTATTCGTTCGCTCATTACTGCGAGTAGGTACTTACTTCGGCCAGGTAGTTCATCAAAACGATAAGCGTCTATAGTACATCTAACTACAACCGGTAATCATCCATCCGATTATCGAAGTTTCATTCCGACGCCATTTCGAGGGTCTCGATTTAACTACAACGAAATATACAATAATTCTTCTTTGAGTATATCCGTCAGCGTGATAGTTCGTACAATGAGTGTATCGGTAAGAACTAAGAGTTTTATTCGTCTATAATATTTTAAAATAACGTTTTTATTGTTCATATGTGTTTAAACTGATGTATGATTTTTGATTAGTGGGAAAATGCTGTAGATGTTGAAGAACCGGAGCAGTTCAGGAAATTATTCATTGGTGGACTTAACTTTAGAACCACAAATTATTCATTACAAGAATTTTTCGAAAAGTGGGGCGATATTGTCGATGTAGTCGTTATGAAAAATCCTGTGACAAAAAGGTTATACTCGAACCTTTAAATTTTTCTAACAAATTCATAAGATATAAATTTACTTAAATAATTAAATGTTAACACAACATATATATATGTGGCTGAAATGGTATTTTATAAATCTTTATTACAACATAGCATAATATGAATATTTCAAAATAATAAACAAAATATTATTCAGAATTAATTTGTAGGTTAGCTTAATTATACATTGAAATTAATTAGTACATTTCAATGGAAATATTTTAATTGATTTTTTTTTATACTTTGATTATCATTTGTTAGATATTATTTGATAAGTTGTATTTTAGTGAATTTAATTATTATTAGTACATATAAATTGTATTATTTACAGTTTTTTTCTACAAATTTTAAAGTAGATAAATCAATCAAAAAATACATTTTAGATAAATTAATTAATGCCAGGTTTGTTGGCTTTAACCAACTATAATTTAGTTAGGAAGTAATTACTATCGCACTTAAGTTCATTCACTTCAAAAAAAACAAAATATTATAGTACCATTAAAAATTCATTAATTGATTATGCATTAATAATTCATAAATATAAAATAATTATTTTAAATTTTTATTGTATTTACGGGTCGACCATTATTTTAAAAAGTTTAACATAATGTGTGTATTGATTATTCTATAAATTTAGACAATATTTGTAAAGTTTTCAAACTAATTTTGTTTTTGATACATACAATAAAACTATTAACAATGTGTTAATATTAGATTTAAAAAGTTTAAAATGCTCTTAAAATAAAAATATGCCAAAAACTTTTAAATATCAATTATATTTAAAATAAGATATTTCTCATAACATTTATAACAAGTTTATTTTATATTTTAGATCACGAGGATTTGGTTTTATTACATATTCAAAAGCTTCAATGGTAGATGATGCTATGGCCAATAGACCTCATAAAATTGATGGCCGTGAAGTAGAAACAAAACGTGCTGTCCCTCGTGAAGTAAATATTCAATCAAATTTTATAAAAGGGAATCTACTGTTCCATATTTTATTGTTTATTTCACAATGGTATTATTATAGGACATAGACAAACCTGATATAGCTTGGACTGTAAAAAAAATGTTTGTGTCTGGAATTAAAGAACAAGCTGAAGAAGACTTAAAACAATATTTTGGACAGTATGGAAATATACTTAACATTCAAATTATTGCAGACAAAGAAACTGGACAACGTAAAGGCTTTGGATTCATTAAATTTGATGATACAGACTCAGTTGATAAAGCTGTTTGTATGTATTATTTTTCCTTTTTTTTAAATTATTTTTTTTTTCAAAATGAGTTATATTACATTTTTTTTTAGTAATCAAAACCCATGAAGTTTCTGGATCTAAATTAGAAGTTAAAAAAGCTGTCAGTAAAGATGTAGCATCGGCTTCTAGTGGTCGGAGAGGTGGCGGTGGTGCTAGTGGTGGAAGAGGACAAAGTTGGGGAGGACCAAATAACTGGGGAGGTGAGTGTATTTTATCTTAATGTATACATCATATTATAATTAAATCTAAATTATAACTTATGAAGTTATATATAAGAAATAATGACATATCCCAAAGATGATGGGAATACACATTAGTTTTTCTCATAAATAATTTTGTAATTAATAGTTTTTCATATCAAAGTTGATTATTAAATATTTTTTAGTCAGTATTTTATTGTATTGTGGTTCTTATAATTTAAAACTGAAAACAATCAATTTTTAACATTTTACTTATGTTGGTTAATTTATTTTCAGGTAACTATTTTGGGGGATATGGCAATGGAGGCAGTAGTGGTGGTTGGGCTCAAGGTGGTCCTCAAGGTTGGAATAATGTTTGGGGTAGTCGAGCTACCCGAGGAGGTTGGGGTAATAGAGGTATTTTCATCAGCTATAACATCTTTAAATTATATATATCTAATTAAATATATTTTTATTTATTTAAAGGAGGTAATTGGGGAGGTAGTCAAAGTAGTGGATATGGAGGTGGACCAATGCAAGGAAATTTTGGTAACAACAGAGCAGTACCATATCATACAGGCCGTGGTAATATTTGTTGTTGAAATAATTAAATTATTTTTTATTAATTCTCATATAATATAATAATATAATTCATTATAGAATTATAAATAGTTACATAATTTATTTTTAATATTATAATTTATTGGTATTAGGAGGTAGTGGTTATTTCCATCAAAATTCAAGAGTGTGGTATTAAAAGTGAGTATTGAGCATTAATATTTTAAAATAATAACTATTAATGCTTCACAAATTATTCTTAACTTGAATAAAAATAATACTGAGGATTGTTTTTGTTTTTTATGCATAATTATTTTTTTTTGTATCTTGTTAGGCAGGTTGCTGAAGCGAGGCTGGTAGGAATCAATAACCATCAAATTTCTCTCCTTCAAATTTTGGGTATTGAACTATTCGAATGATGTTTTTTTCAGACAAAAATTATCTGCTCTTCACATGTTGACACTTAATGCCATTTATGAACCACTATAAAATTATGTTAGTACAATATTTGTTTATCATATTCATTATGATTTGAAATTTAGGTGATATAAGATTAAAACATTTTATAAATCTACTATATAATATATATATATAACATATATATTTTTTTATTTAATTAATTATTGTTTTTCCGATATAATTTTAAAAATTTAAAACACTGGTTAATTTAAATGTAAAACGTTTTATTTAATGGTGAATAATTTTTGTGTAACTATATATTATTATATTAATAAAATAAAAAATACCCAGTCTTTATACAGGGACCAGAATACAATTGTTGTTGACTCAATATTTTTAATACTCACAATACATTTTTTCTAGTAAAATGAACATTCTTAAATGAATGCTTAAATATGGTAGGCATAATTTCTACTATATTGCAACAGACCGTAAGTAGTGTGCATTATTATGTTTTAAAATTCTGTATAATATATTAAAGTCATTATTTCCTCATGTGTTTTATTATAATCATGTTTAAGTGAAATCTCTATTTATCAATGTCTTTCAATTACTGAATCTTTTCTAATAGATTTTTTTTTTAAACTAGTTAAATGTGATTATGTGCATCTTACTACTTTTAATAGTGAATTCTGTTCAATGATACAGTTTTTTAGCCACCATTGTTGTGTCTTATAGAGGTTTCACTATCAATTGATGATTAGTTATAGATTTTGATTACAAGATATTAAATTAGGCATTTTATGCAGACCAACATATTGAGCCTCCTATCAACAGTGTAGGACTTAGGTCCCCTGGTTCCAAGATAGTAAGTGTCTTAGGTATGTTTGCAATTTACAAATTATTATTAAATATAAAATAATACAAATTCAGTTGTATAATATTTGAAATTGATCAACAATATAATATAAATATGTTGAAAGTTACTTACTAAATATTAATTATAATATTTGTCAAATGTTTGCTGATTAAATGTCGATTTTTGATTAATTTTGATTTTCAAACAAATATACAGTCATTAAAATTTTTTGGGGCTAGATAAGTTTAATTCTCTACAACCTTTTCATATTATCGTTATGTTATTATATGTAAAATGTGGCATTACTGGATTTTAACAGTTATTAAAGTAAATACAATTAGAATTTGTATTTAATTATAAGAAAATTGTAATTCAAAATTCAAATACTAAAAAGTATTATCTTTTATTATTAAATTTCTTGTGCCTTAAATTTTTAGGAAAATAATTGTTATACAATGTTAAGGATTACAATTGTTATTTTAAATGTATAAAATATTAATATGTTATACTAATTAACACTTCATACAATCATAAATTTAAATAAAAATAAATGACTGTTTTGAATATTAATCTTTAAAATGTGGCCCCATGATATTTTTAGTGGCTGCATATTTTTAATGATTCAATCATTGATTGAATGTATGTGAATAAAATGTTCAGTCAATGATTATGTTATTAATTATTATTATTATTTTATTCTTGATACTACTTATATTATGTCTAGGCAAATGTTCAACTAAACAGTTTTCAACAATTCAAGAAACTATTAATGCATAATTTACATAGGTAATTTATAAAATATTTTATTATTCTTATTATATGTCATAATTTGTGATATTTTTGCAGGTTTGGAATTAAACCGATATTACTGAAAAGATGACAACTTCCTGTATTTACTTTACAAGGTGACAATATGTTGGTTAGTTAAATATTGACATTTATTAGTTAGTTTAATAATTTTAGTTATCTGAGTAAGTTCTTATATGTTTTTATCATACAATTGGTTTTTTCCAGATTTGAAAAGGTACCTAATATTTACTACATAGCCAAATGTTCAAAATGTATGTCAGACCTGAACATAAATCTAACCTTTCGATCTTGAAGTAAGTGTTGTACAAAACTAAGTTTTTCATTGTAAAATGTTATGTTGACATAACTGATTGTAATTTAAGTAAAAATCCGTTTGTTATTTTGTTAATCTGCGTTTGTGGAAGTTAACATAAAAATAAATGATTGTGTACTAAAATTATCTGTATCCTAATTCCTTAGGAAAATTATTTTATATAATATTATACATACATTTTTATATTTTGTAAATAACCTATCATGTTTTTTTCTCAAATTTGATTAAGAGTTTATGATATAAAAAATTAATTATTTTAACAAAAATGTAAAATAAAATGCAATTATAGGTATGTGAGTTTTTATGAAAGTGAAGGTAACTTATTGTTATAAATATTATAACCAAATTTGTTGTTTCATCTAAATAACTGCATCAAACACTACAGATTATATTACTACTATGGTTGGTGTTACGCAATTAGGTTTTCTATCTGTAATATACATAATACATATTGAACTAATATTTTACTCAATATAATGTTTTAAATTGTATAGAATTGATTGTTGTACCTACCAAAAAATATGTGAATTATATGCCATCTGTTATATTTCCCCCTATAAGTACAAAACTGTACCCAGGTTATAATTAAAGTATATTTTAATGCAATATAAGATGAACTCTTTATTAAATTCAAGTACAGTAGCATACTTATATTTTATAACTTAAACAATAATTATACTGTTAATGATTTTCATTAATTATTATTTTTATTATTTACATAATAAAAGAACAATCTTGGGAATAAAGTTTCTCTGGTGGACGATTGCTCCTCAAAAGTTGCTCTGGATCGATATTTTAAATAATGTGCCTATAATTCTGTAGTAAATAGGTATAAAATAATATTATTGGGTATGTTTTGTACATTATACACATGCATATAGTGTTACAGTAGATATATTTACTCATTATGGTTTGATAATAACAGTAAGCTAATAGGTACCTACTTCAAATTATATCTGTTTGAATCAATTAACTCGTAGGTTTTGGGAATTTGGAGGATAGGTCCTAATAATTGCTACTACATTTTAGAATATTATTGTTTATCGAGTAGGTACATTTTAGGTATAACCTGCAACTTGAACTTAATGTTTGATTAATTATTTGTAATTGATAGAAATTAAATGAGGTTTAAGAATTTTAACTTTATTGTGTTAATGTGTATTTGTTCAGATGTTATAACAGCATATTTACATTATTTTATAAGGAACATATTACATAAGTTTAAATTCAAATTGTATACCTTATCTTGATAGGTGTTTTTAACTATAGGTATTTCTGTTGTTTAACTAACCGCTAGAAACTATGGGTTTCTATTAAAATGACTTATTCAGTAGGTAAATTTTGAAGTAATTATGTTGGTAAATAAAAAAATATTCATATTTTCTTATGAAAACTAAAGTATTATTTTTCCATATAGTTACCTCATTGTATTATTTATTTAACATTAAGTTAATTGTTATGACTTATGAGCAGTGGCGCCCAACCCTATTTCTAAGTGTAGCGGTTGCTACACCTTGAAAATAAGGGGTGGATGGGTATAATAACAAAAAATAATAAACTTGAAATATGTCCATAATTAATCTAATATTATTATTTACTAATATTATCAATACAAATATGATAAAATGTATTAAATAATATAATTTTGAGTCTTAAGAGGGTAGGTGTGTGGGAAATATGTTTTCTTGCTACACCTGAAAAATATATCTTGGGCGCCACTGTCAAAAAAGATAGGGAATAATATTTTTGAGGGAATAACATATCGATTTGTCTAAATATTGTATCATTGTTAAACATAATTTAAATTTACAAAAATTTTTTGTTTATTTTGAAAGTCGAATCCAAAGTCAAATAACAATAAAATACAAAATCGATAAGTCATTCCCTCAAAAATATTATTCTCTATATTTTTTGTAATGGGTGATTTTCTCTGAAGATTACTTCAAAACAGAAAAAATGATGATATTTTACGATTTATTATAATATTATATACCTAAGTGCTCTACAGTCTTTAAGTATTTGGGATATGTTTATTATAGATCCTATCTAGATAATAAAATATTTAAAAATTAATAACAAAAAAAAATTACTCAACAGGTATTGAAAAAAGTTGAGGATAAAAGTCACTCATTAATAACACTCCGGTTAATTTAAAAAAAAATGTATAAATTGAAAGAACCGAAACACTTGCCAGGGGATGATCTGGAACTCAATGGGGCCACTACTTATTATGAAAAAAAAATCAGCCCTACACTATTACCACAGACTAAGATATACTTAGTTTTTTTAGTATATCTTAGTTCGTGACTATAACTATCTACCTTTATTTTTAGAACTTAATTTTTCACTTTTGGTTAGGTACTCACCATAATAAATATGTGATAAATGTTTTCTAAAATTTTAATTAATTTTAGGTAATAATATTAATTGTTTGTTATTTATATTTTGTACTTTAAATCATAAATCATAAGTAAAATTAAGTGTATGTGTTAGATGGATGTGTAGTAAGCGAGTCACTACGCAACATTTAAATTTCGACAGGAAACATAATTAACATAATATACTGTAGATAGGTAATGGTCAGATATATCAAATAGAAACTAGCTAACCTTTTTTTGGTTGTACTTAATCAAAGAAACCATGGGGAATATAACGCCAAAAATGAACACGTAAACAAAATTGCGATTAATAAATGTAAGGCTCAAGGAGAAACGATATTCAAAATAATACCACAATAGATTAGCATGACTTTGCAATCATGTAGAATAGGCGGATGTGATAAATGCGATAGCGTTATATGAGAGAATTTCAATATAAA